TTTTTCAATTGTTCATTAGGTTCACACATTGTTCATTAGGTTCACACACATGTTTCAATCCTATCTGGATGTCGTCGTCTGGTAATCCTTCCAAATCCTCTATTGTTTTGATGAAGATTATGAACCTAATTTTTAACTACTGATTTAAGATATTGATCGATGCGATTGACGGTTTTTTTATTGATTGGAAGTTACAGAATAGGTTGACAAAATAGAATACGTTAAGATCATTCACTTTTTACAATTCTACCATCTGAACCATTGTGAACCTAATTTTTTTATTAATATGGTAATTAAATAATTAAATTTTTAGTCTCAATAAATGACAACCGTTGGATGTTCAAATCAACGACCAAGATCTGTTAACAAAGTTAACACGATAATTTTGGTTAGTATTTGAACCAGCCCATATATATATATATATATATATATATATATAACCTGGATATCCAACCCGTTATGCAAGCTGACTAATTCCAGGACGACCACCTGCTTTGCAGATAGCCCATAATTACCGCATTTGAACCTCCGTGGCCACAAGAGGATTTTTATTCCTCCTTAAATTTGAACCTGAGACAACCTGATACTTTTGACTTTTGGAACCAAGCTCAAACCAATCATGCACCACCCTTATGGTTGAATTGGTTTATTATATTGTTATTTAAGAAAAAGAATACCAAAAAAAGAAAACCAGTAGATTTTTTAATTTTAAATGATTAAGTTTTTGGATAATATTTTTAAACAGATAAATTTCTTGGAGTTTTTGTAACTCCAACCTCTATCAACCAGCATCATCTCTTGATATCCTCAACCAAAAAACTGTTTAAAGATAATACATACGCATTTAATAGGAGACACTTTTCAAACAAAATAGAGGTTCCTGGACTCGGTAGTTGCTCTTATTCTTTTGTTACTATTCTAGACAACAACAATGTGAGAGTATTCAACCACAAGGGTGGTGTCCGCTTCATTTGAGCTTGGGTTCCAAAAGTTAAACGTGTCTTGAGGTCTCAGGTTCGAATCCAAAGAGGAATAAAAATTCCCTTGTAGCCACGAAGGTTCAAATCGCGGGTGGTCGTCCTGAGATTAGTCCGCTTGCATAACGGGTTGGATATCCAGGTTAATAAAAAAAATGTGAGGGTATTCCGACAATAGTCATTATAGGGTTTTTTGTTCTTCCATCATTCTTTGAGTAATATATTATTTAAGGTTCTTGATTTAGATTGCTTTGAATATTGCTGAATGAAATTACGAAATTACCCTGTTTTTTCTTGTTCCCTCACCAAAGAAGATGACTTGAGAAGGAGAAGCAGGTGGTGGTCCGACGGTCGGGGACGGAGGTGAAGGGACACGAGTGGATTGTGTTTCTTCAAATTTACCCTTTCTTTTTTACTTAAAAACGTTTTTACTGGTATAACCAATTACAGGTTAATTTTATAGGTCAAAACGATCTGTTTAATTGGATTTGAAAAGTACAAATATTTATTTATTTAAAAATAATGAAACATGAACGAGGGTTCAATT